CCACTCGCTTGGAAGCTCTGTTATGAAATGTAGTGAGCTCACCAGTTATAGGGCTGACCCACCACGGAGTTCCACACTTTATTGGACTTTGTCATTTCTCTCCCACTTCCATCACCAACACAAAAATGTTGAACACTTCATCAGCACTGCAGGCCATGTGACAAGAATAGAGGGCAAGAAAACTTTATTAGAATGAGGGTGCTGGGTCTAGCAGCCAGGTCACTCAGCATACCAGCCTAATGATATACAATTTAAATTTGTGCCTCAAGAAAACTACAAATTACAATATGTTATGGACTGGCAGGCTGCTTATGGTACCATTAGAACTGTAAATGTTAAGTCCCTAAAGACCAAAGTTCTACTTTATTATGATTACATGTATGATGCTTTTGCCAATTATTCACCCGGTGTCTATCAGCTCCAAGCCTACATTTTTATGCACTGCACTGTAAGGCTGGAATTAGGAGCCATGCATGTTTCTCAGACACCCTTGCCACCTGGCTTTCAGTTAGTTTCCATCCATTTAAGGCACTGGCAAGAGATTGGAAGGTGGGAGGTACTGAGAAGAAGCTCATTTAGAGCTTCTAGCTTGAGTTGGCACCCCTCCAGCAGTGGCTGTGGCTGCCCCACTCCCACCCCCACGCCTGCCCCATGGGAGTCTGTGCATCAGCTTGTCACATCTCTCTGGCTGTCCTAGCCTAACCACAGGGCATCCTGTATCAATCAGTGATCCAAGAATCAGTCCTCCAGGGACTTCTTCATGATCCTATATTCTGATAACATCCACCTTTTATTCTCTCTATCCTTAATGATGGTAGTTGCTTTCTTAAGTTATTAATCTCTGGTTTTGCTCTTTTGATCTTTCAATATCCTGTATTAATCAATTCCCTGTATTAAATTCCTTCTGTTTGTAATAATTAACATGGGTTGTCTTTTCTTGACTCAGCCCTGACTAGGTAGCAATTATTAGAATAAAAAATTTACTTTGTAGAGCATGATGCTGATAACACCAAGGTCTGGAGTTCAATCCCTGTACTGGGCAGCCACCAAAAAATAAAATTAAATTAAAAAGTTTACTTTGTTTGCTAGAATCTCTCCTTTTTTGAAATCATAATGTGAAATAGAGTTTCTTCAAATGCTAAAAAACTTACTATAGGAAAGTGGCTACCAAGAAGGCAGAACAAGTGTTTCTATAAAATAGTTATTATGACTATTCTGTTACTTATGTCTGAAGCCTTTGTGACTCATAAAAACACTTGACCTGAAGGATCATTCATAATCTTCATTTATAGTCCTACGTCCTCTCCTTGAGTCCATTTCTATGCAGACAAACAGAAGCCAACACTTAGGAACCAACATTGTTAGGAACATTCTGCCAATTATGCCAGTGGGTTTGGTCTGGCGTTAAGATGAGCAAATATCTATCTAAAAATCCAATTTTAACAGCCAGTTTTGTTTGGGGGAGAAGGGAAGTAATTACTCATTCTAGAATCAGAGGCTTCATTTTATGAAAGGATTCATCTGAGGATATCTTTAGAAGTTTAGATACATGGGGCCGGCCCGGTGGCGCACTGCGCTAGTGCGCCGCTTGGGACCCCCCCCCCCCCCCGCCGAGGGTTCAGATCCCACATACAGACCGGTTCCCGCTCACTGGCTGAGCGAGGCGCGGGGGCAACACCGAGGGTTGCGATCCCGTTGCCGGTCCTGGTCCGGTACGGGGGCGACACTGAGGGTTGCGATCCGTTGCCGGACACGGAAAAAGACAAAAAAAAAAAAAGAAGTTTAGATACATGGGGCCGGCCCGGTGGCGCACTGCGCTAGTGCGCCGCTTGGGACCCCCCCCCCCCCCCGCCGAGGGTTCAGATCCCACATACAGACCGGTTCCCGCTCACTGGCTGAGCGAGGCGCGGGGGCAACACCGAGGGTTGCGATCCCGTTGCCGGTCCTGGTCCGGTACGGGGGCGACACTGAGGGTTGCGATCCGTTGCCGGACACGGAAAAAGACAAAAAAAAAAAAAAGAAGTTTAGATACACGAACATGTTTCCAGAAAATGGGATTTTATTATGGTTTTTTCTCTAGTAAGATCTACACAAAACTAATAATTATGGCTGCTTCTTGGGTATAGGAATTGTTTTATTATTGTCTACTTCTTACCATAAGTACATATTACTTTTACTGTAATGAAAAACATAGTTTAAAGCTCCTCTGGTGCAAATTTAAAAGATTTGAATTTTTAAACTAGGATTTACCTTCTATTTTCAGGAAAATGCTTAGTACATGCTTTTTTATATATCTACTAAGTGTCTTTGGAGTGCCTACCAGTGTAGTAAGAGTACCCCAAAGTGGAATTCCTGTTGTTCCTGAGGAATCTAAATCTTATTGGCAAGTTTCACAGGCATCTTTACAATAAGTAGCTAATACATACATGACAGACTCCCAGTAAACATTTGTTCAATGAATACATGCACATACCATCAAAAGTATTTATTTTTCAAATTCTCATTTCATACAAGATTAGCTTGTTTAGTTCACTTATCACATATATATCATATTCCATCACTTCTCAGACACACATTGCTTACTTCTAAACAACTCTGGAATCAGAAGAGGACTTACCAGCAATGTGATTTTTTTAAAGTATTGTACCATAGACAATTTACAGCATTTTCTCTTTTATAGTGGTAAGTAAAATAACAGCATGTCTTACATTGACAGCATCTTAGATCAAATGAAATACAATATATATTATATTTTATACATACTTTAGAAAATACACGTGAATATTTAGGCATGTTTCCCCCAAGGTTTAACTGGGAAAAATTTTCATGGGACCACTCCATTCAATAAACATTCAAGCCTTCAGCAATCACATGAAATCCACAACTACTAATTTATAAATGGTAAAACCAAAAGCTGACAAGTAACAGCTTTATAAAAATGTGTGCATTTATGATAGTTCATTTCTCAAATTTTTCATGGTACTATTAAATGTTAAACATGTATCTCTTATATTGAACTTAATGTAAGGCATATGTGTATATAAAAATTATGTATACTTCTAAGCACTCAGTACTTAAAGGACTTTCATACTTTAGTGTTTGAAATTAATCAAAGGTCTGAGAACTATGAAAATGACTAAACTGTATAAGAACTCTGAGATGTTGCACTCTCTTTTGTCCTCACACAGATTTGTCACCTCTCTCCCCCTGGGTGATGGAGATGCAAAGGATTACTCAAAGTGCATTTCTTCTGAGCAGTGATAAACCCCGAAGGGATTAATTTCCTGGAACCCTCAAGAGAGAGGCATTCCTCCTCGGGAAAATTAACACCAGACTGAGGTTCTGTCTCAGTATTTATTCTCCAGGCCAGAAAGTTACAGAAAAGGAACATAGGTGGAGTTATGACTAAGTATAGTTTAACAATAGAGGCTGGTAACAGTGAAATAACAAAGTGACATTCCATAATGCAATTTGCAAAATGTTAAGTTGATCCACCAACAAAAGCTTGTTGTTAGCAAATACTGTCTTTTCCTACAGCAGTTTCCTCAGTACGATCCACCAACAAAAGCTTGTTGTTAGCAAATACTGTGTTTTCCTACAGCAGTTTCCTCAGTATGTTTACATAACAATCAAGTAACTTTAGGTTGACCTGCTCCAAGGGCATCTGTCCTTGAGCCAGCAATTTTGCTATATTACAATTCTTTATCTACATCAGAGACTTTAAACTAGGGAAAGTTTCCTGTGTTTTGCAAGCTTAACATTTCTATATGTAATTTTAAAAAGTCAGGTTATACCTGAAACTACAGGGCTTTGGAAACCAGGCCCTGTGAAATACCTTTGCTTTATAAATGTTGGTATACTTCACACTGAGAAGTTATAGAGGAAATGTGAATAAAACCTTATAGAATAGATGAAATTAACTATAATAAAAGTAAAATTCTATGACAAAGACAGGCAGATAACACTGAAAAAAAGAGGACAGTTAAAAATGAAGAAAAAGGACAAAACATCACCAAACTAAGAAAATATGAGTCATCAGCAAAGGACAGCCTATACTAACTGCAAAAAAGGAATAACTCCAAGCACTGCAGTGTAAGATATTACGTAAATCAAAGACATTAAATAAATACACCAACTATTTCATTAATGATTACTCTCAGCTGCTAGTTCAGTGATTATTACACCAGGTATATCTAGCTTATTCATATAACCATCTCTTAGCCTTCTCTTTCTCAAACATTTTCTCACAAAAAGAAGTTTTAGCTGATGTGGAAGTTGGAAGAAGAGGCAGGAAAGACTAGGATGAGCTATCCTTTCAGCTGTCATTTGGTGACCATCCATCACCTGTTCCTTACCCTCTAATCTTGTGATCACCTGGCCTCTAAGATAAGTTTGCTGAGGATCTTTGAGAGCTGCAGTCACCACCTCATTCTTCCCCATACCACACTTTCTTCCTTCCCAGCAACAGCCATATAAAGTCTACAGATACACATGAGCTCACCTGGGCACATTCCCACTTCCTGCTCTTGCCAGCTCACCTGCCCACTGATGCTAACAGAGTTGCCCACCCCCAGCAAAGAGGCTTTTTTCCCCCTCTAGTGCATACTTTAGGGAATGATTTTCAAACTGGACAAGATTTTATTAATAAAAAAAGAAAATTTAAGACTGTAGCAAACACTGAACACAGAAAGAAAATAAAAACTCTGGACGTTCACAATCAACATTATATCAAGATCTAAAAAACAAGGAAGAGGTGATGACTAAGGAAAATATAGTAATTTTGTGACTATGAGTTTACAAAAATATTGTTATCAGTTTACCCGGTTACTATTCACTGGAATGATTTTTCATTGACTTCCAGATTCATATTTTTCTTTTTAAGTTTTGAGTATTGCAGTTTTATGGACCTTTTTGGTAGAGAGGAAAGGGCAAGATGAAGCCAGATCAAATGCACTGAGGTGAGATTAAGACTAAAATTTATAATAGTGAGAATATTATCTTTAAGAGGACATTGACCAATTGTTTGATGACATGGGTTGTTTTTTCACGCAAAATATTTTCAAGAAAGCCTTCTGAAAACTCTTGTGACACAATGGATACAAAAAAGGATTGACAAAAGAATTGAACCACTGAAGCCAAAATGTGATTTCATACCACTCTGATTCAGGACGCTCTTCTGGGGGGTAAGTTGAAAGAACAATTGTGAACAGAGAATATGGAGCCCAGCAAATGGCAAAAACGCCTAAGAGAATGGCCAGTGACTTCGCTAATTTCCTAGCTCTGAGCAGTTCAAGATGTTCCCTTCGGTGAAGAAATATAGAACCAGACTGGGAGATGGAACCTGTTTGGGAAGCAATTATATTGCTATTCGTGTGGGTTCTCAAGGAAGACCAGAGACTGCTCTTTCTTCCTTGTTTCTCTGAATGAAGGGGTACAGCTGCTTCCTTTGGTGCAGGAAGAGAGGTCCTTGAAAATAGTCCACATCTGAAAGAGTGTCCACAGTTTCTGGAAGAGACAGAAGTGAATCCAGGATGGCTTTGGCACCTGCTGAGATTACCACGTTTCCAAAGGCTCCAGTAAATATTCATGTCGAAATAAGCAACTGAGATGACTGGGACCAGGAACTCCAAGGATGACGTGATGGCAAGGATGTACCATTTTGAAAAAAATCCAGGTTCACATTTTTTACCCTTCTTCTTCCAAGACTCTGAAACCAGAATCATTGGCCCATTCACTAGGAAGGCCAGCACCCAAACGGCCACCATCAGAGTGACAATCTTCAAGATTCTAGTGTTCTGAGCTCTATAAGACACCTAAAAGAGACCAAATAAGTTATTTTCAATACATTGAACATATATTGATTGCACAAAGCATCCCATAGGCCCCAGAAATATCAGTAATGTGCAAGAGGTGGGGACATTAACTAACCTGGGTGTCATGATGTGGACCAGGACAGAGGGTTCAATTTCAGCTGGGCCAAGATGCAGTTTCTTTGTGGTTTTCTAGGGGAAGACTATAACCCTCAAGGTTAAACCCCTGACTCTATAGGAAATGTCAAGGCCAATATCTAAAATAATAAAGCAATTTTTCCTAATCCACAGACACTAATCTGAATGGTAAACTGAAATTGGGTGCACCTTACCACAATACTTCTCAATCTGCAGACTGGCATTTTTTTTTTTCCTTTTTGTCTTTTTTCGTGTCCGGCAACGGACCGCAACCCTCAGTGT